AACTGTAAGGGCAAAAGCCAGAATGCTCCTGGGTCGACATAGGCAGTTTAATAGGGAAAGGAAAAGCCATGCACACAAGGCAAGCAAAACAAGGAATCAATTCACTGCTTCCCATGGGTGGGCAGGTGTTCAGCCATCTCTGGGAAAGCAGAGCTCCATCACGCCTAACAGTGACTTGGGATGACAAACACCATTACTCCAAACATCCACACCTTCCTCCATCTTCCTCCCGCTGTATATACTGATCATGGTGCCATATGGTCTGGAATATCCCTTGGGTCAGTTGGAGTCACCTGTCCCAAATGTGTCTCCTCCCAGCCCTCCCTGCAGCTCCAGCCTCCTTGCCGACATGGTGGTAGGAAAAACAGAAAAGGCCTTGTCTCTGTGCCAGGACAACAAAAAATGTCTCTGTATTATCAACCCTGTGTTCAGCACAAACCCAAAACATGGCCCCATACTAGTCAGTGGGAAGAAAATTAACTCTGCCCCAGCCAAAACCAGCCCAGCCATGAAGGCTCCACTCACATGTGGAGCATCTTCTGCCTCAGCATTTAAAGTTTTTAATCCCTTTCATTTGCTACTGCAGATCTATCTAAGTAGTCAGTCCTGGGGTGTGCCATGGACCCTCCACAATGTTCATGCAGCTTTACACCCTGGCTGTGCAGAAGCAGGACTTAGGGGCAGAAACCTCCCCTGATAACAGAGAAACATTTTTTTTTTTTTAAGATGAGTGTGGACTGGCTCTTTCAAGACATGAGAGAGGGAGAGCAGCTTCTTTTTGTGCAGTGAGCAGGACCCACAGTGCTGGGAGAGTCCCCTTGCCACCAGGAACCAGAGGAGGCTGGTGTAGGGGCACAGTAGGATGCTGTCCTTTCTGCTGAAGCTCTGCGGCATGTAAGGTTAATGATGCAGAAGAGGAAGTCTGGCTCCAGAGTACTCCTTGGAGAATGGAATGAGACCTCCTGCTCTTCACTTCTTCCTTCTTTCCTGGCTGAGAGTTTTGCCACTGGCAACGTGGTGGATCTGCCTTGTTTTGTCATTCTACCACTGTTCTTTTGTCTCCAGAAGTTTGGAGATGAGAGCTGCTTTGGTGGCAGCTGAGGACAAGCATTTGGCCTTGGACTGGATTTAGACACGTAAAAGAGAATGGAGGCGGGACTTGGCCACATCACCCATTATCTGGAGAAAGTCAATGTAGTCTTTGCACAATGTCATTAAATCCAACAATGTCCTTTTTGGCTGTCAGTGTTGGAATTAAACACAACATGTGCTTGAAAGTGGAGATTCTTCAAGGGAGTTCCAGATGGCTCCCAGGGAGAGAAGTGTGAGCCGCATATGGGCAGCACTGTGTTGGGGTTAAACTGGAGATTTAATCTGGGGAGGGATGATGGAGTTTTGGGGATTCCCCTGAATGTTTTGATTCACTTAATCAAGCTAAAACTACCAATCTCACATGAGGCAGTTCTGCATCTTTCCACTTATTTTATTTCCAGCTGATTTTATGTGTCCACTGCATCAGTGTCCTTTACTGTAGCAGGACATGGAAGGAGTTCATCCTGTCATTAGAAACTACTCAGTCCACAACTCTGTTGGTCTTTTCTGTTTTAAGATGGGCACTATAAATACGCTGGATCTGATCTGTTTAATCATGTCTCCCTTATCTTTGCACAGTGTAATAACCTGACTGCCACACGGGTCTGTCAAAATGAAAGCAAGTAAGATTTGCTTCAGTGGAGTTACATCTGCTTGAAATAACTTTCCTCACATCTTTGCTATCCCCAGAAACACTCAAAGCCTGAAATCATTCTCAATTAACTTGGTAGGAGTTGTTCTTGTTTGTAGATCTCCCTCTTACTTGCATGTAGAATTTAAATGGGATTGGATCTGTCATCACTGAGAAGGATTCAAGGATTTTCCACGTTAGCAGGAGTCAGTTCTGTGTTAAACATGAATCTTTTCAAATCATAAATGTAGAAGGTGTCTGAAATGGGGTTGAAAAATTGCCCAGGTGAGTTTATATCCCATTCCAGAACATAATCCATTTTTTCATGTCACTGGTCTCAGAAAGCCTCACTGAGGAGGGAGGAGCCATTTACTGTGAATTCGGGCATCAGTATCAGACTCTCAAAATTAAGGGCAATAAGGGATAGAGAAATGGGTCCCCCAAATTAATCCCTTGCATCCCTCTACGTATATATGAGGTCCAGCTTGTAAAAAATGACAGCAATGTAGTAGGTTTTGTTTCTTCACAAGACCTGCTTTTTGAAATTCAGTCCCTTTATAGTTCAAGCTGAGCATCCAACATCACTGGCCGCTTTGGAAATTCTTGGTTTAGATTTGCACTTTACATAAAAATAGTATTTAAAAGTAAGTAAGCAATAACTGAGTGATGGCAAAGAGTACTTTGGTATTTCATTTATCTTATGCTTCCTGTTTTTCTTCATGTCCATTCCTTTTAAATACTTCGTTGCTTTTACATTTATAGAATTATAGACATAGAAAAATCTTCTTTGATCCATCTGCCATTCCTCTGGCCCAGTCAGAGCCTTTCCTATTGCTTTCTCTGTGTGAGTGATAGTAATCATTATTTTAACGGTGCCTTCCTTCAAGCACTATTATAAACTTGGATCTAGTCTCTGATTTTGTGTCAATCCTTCACTGCTGTGGTGTATAAGCTAAACCCTTGCTTATTTGACAGATTTAAAATGTGAGTTTTTCTGTCCTGTGGCTACACTGTTTGGGTTTTTCCCAATATTTGCATTTTTAAATGATTATGTGTTATACTGTAACTGAGTATAACAGCTCTTTCATACTTTCTAAGCGTTTTACAGACATCTGCTTAATTCCTTTTTTTTATAGAACAGATGAGGAAAGATGGTACAGAAAAATTTGGGCTTTTTGATTTACAAATACTTCAAGAAATTTTTTTCATACCAAACCCAAAAACCTTTTTATGTCATTCCTCTTTTTATCTACTGAGACCCCATTTCTTTTGCTATTGATTTTAAGTTTTGCACAACCCTTACTTTGAACAGACAGATGACATTATACGCAATACTTGCAGTGCAAGAGGAGTCTTGTTTACTGCCAAAGAGCATTTGCAAACCGTAAAGGAGCAGGAATCTTCTCCCTGTAGATCAGGATTTTACAACTTCTAAGCATTTGTGGGATTATTAATATCCACGATGCATAAAAGGAGATCCTCGATATCACATAATGCATATTTAGACTCTTGTCCTCTCCCCTTTACCAGTGGAGCATCTCAACTGACTTTGGGGAAGGTCCACATCAGATACATCAGTGTAAAACTAAAACTAGAATCAAACCAAAGACCGCTGGGATTGTTCCCTCTGCAGGAAAATCCAGGGATTTGTCACAGGTTCAGTTAATGTAGCTGTTGCAGACATCTCTCTCTGCCCCTGAGTTATGTGATGGGGTCTCTGACTTACCAAACTCCAAGCAATCACTGGGATCCAGAGTTACTGCTGCTCTGAATCTTTTGAGAAGTGTGAACTAGCCTTAGCATCTCAATTTGTTCACTCTCTGTAATCCCTGGATTGAAAACTTTCCAGCATATAAATCCACAGGAAAAAGCTAACATGAAAGAGAACTCACTGAGGGAATTTTGCTTTGAAGATCAGCGTTATATTTAGCCTGTAAAACAGAGATTTCTCACAACTTTGGTGAAGTCAAAGCAAACAGGCCATACATTTTGTTGGTAGACCTGGCTTTTTTTCCCCTGAGAAAACGCATTTTACAAATTCTTGCTTGTAATATCTTGCGCATTTCTGTGTATCTGTAATCACTGCTTAAATATATACCCTCTGTGTGAGTGTGAATATGTCAATATATATTTATATAAGGATACATATTTATATATTTTATGTGCTTCTGACATTTTCTCCTTCTGAATCTAGATAGAGCTTTTGACAAATTTCCTTTACTTAGAAGGCTTCTCCAGCCTCTAATGCTTCTCCCACTTCTTTCTGCTCCTTTGGGCTTTGGCAATGTTACAACCAACCTTCTGGCCCAGGGTATACTTTTTATAGCCTGTTCTTTTTCTTTTTCTGGCTACTTGAGTCCTTGTCAAGCAGTAGCAGGAGTTGCAGCAGCACAGGGAACTAGAAAGTGCATGATTTTCATAGTGGAATAAGCTGCTTTGACACTCCTGCAACTGAGTGAGGAATGGAATTGTCTTTGTAGAAAATACTGCGTAAAAACAGTTATTTTATATCTTTCTCCCTCTTTTGTTGTTGAGAACTGCTGATATTTTTCATAACTTATTAACAGCCCTGTAGGTTCCATGTGTAACCAGCACAGATGGACTTAGATGCAGCTAGAATGGATTGCATGAAAGTGTGGCAATGGAGAAGTCTCTGAAGAACGAAAGGTTCTTGCAGACCCAACCTGTTTTCCATCTGTTGCTTAATAAATTGTTTCAGATCTGATTTAGAATAATAAAACAAACATTTTCAGTTTAAAATTCCCTCTCTTGCTCTGAGAGACTTCCCTGCCCCTGACATGGAGGAGAGGGGCTTATGAGCCAAATCGTTAATATAGATCTGTCTCAAAAGGACTTAAAATTAGACACCAGTGGCTGTGGGAATTCCCGAAGTCCCAGTTACAGTAAAAGTCAGACCTTATGTCTCCATGCTTGGAGAGCATAGCACTGCAATGCATCCTAACAAACTTTGTAACCTTCTAATGTATGAAAAATGTGTTTCCTCTCCTGCAAGAAGGGATATGTATAATTCCCAGCAGCCGTAAGGAAAAATCGCCCCCAAAACCAATCCCACTAGGCATCAAAGAAATGTAGCACTTTCTATTTTAGCCAGCTGCAGTAATCTTGACAAGATATCTCAAATTCAGTCCTTTTAAACGTTCTTCTTAGGAAATGAACCCTTAGGTTGGTGTGTCTTGACTGTGATCCATGTAAAATAACACCTTTGTCTTGGGCATTTTTTTTTTAACACAAGGCTTTTTTTATTTTTCCTTGCTAGGCTGGATTCTGGATGCTGCAAGGCTGTCATGTCAGGATGCTGCAAAAGAGGTGGTTGCATCTTCTTACTGTAGAGTTGGTGACGTTTCCCTGTGTGCAGGGAATCCGACCTTTATGGACAGGAAACTGTTTTCCTTGCTTTGGGATTTTCTTGGTCCTGTTGATTTTAAAGGGGTCAACACTCTCAGTTCAAAGAAACTGAAACTAGATGTGAACAGGGATTGGAGGAAGGAGGCAGGGAGAATCCCCTACAAGATTCAAATGTGTCTTATTTCTGGGAAAACCAAGTAAAACAGGATTCAACTGCAGCAATTTATGAGCTGTTCATCAAAAACCCCAGACAAGCACTGAGTTCTGTGGGAAGCTGGAAATGACACAGGACATCTCCAAAAGACTGTTGTTGAAACTTCCTTTAAACTTTTTTTTCAAGTGGAAGATCCAGACCTGGCAAATGGGTAAGGTCATCCCTTAGAAGAGCTCTCTCCAGAGAATTGAACAAGTCACCGAAGTCTGTCCGTTTGTCTGCCTGTCTTTTGGCCTCGGGTTACTGTGCTTTTTAAAACTGTGATTTCATAGCTCAGATAAAAGGTAGGTATTTCACATAGCTCTACAGGTAGCAATCATCCTGTTCATGCAAAGTATCTGCTGTGTAAGGGGTAGGCCCAAACTAGAGGTGTTTCTCATTTACCTACAAAGCGTCTTGCCTAGTGTATGTACAGTCAGTTCTTGTGAACATGTGAGTCCATTGCCTGCTCTAAAGGAGTTAGTGACTTAGTTTTAGTGGTCATAGAGATTTTCACCAAAATAGCGCTGTTTGTGGTAGTCTTTTGTGTGATTTAGAAGACACAATAGCCAGACAGTTCTGAAATTATGATATAATTGTACTCAGCATTCCCAGAAAATGCTCTGAAGTTTTCTCCTGTTGCACCATTGTGATAAGAACCTCTGTTGCTTTTCAAGCTCCACAAGTCCATGCTGTGCTGTGCCGAAACTGCTTGAAAACCCAATTAGGATTGAAAAGGGAAGGGCAGAGAGGGATGCTATGGCCTGGAATTCCCTCCCTTTGGCAGTGGCAAAGGTCAGTCATGCAGCCAAATTTCCATAACCACATGTGGATCCACCCTGTGTGTGTTGCCAGTTCTCTGCACAGGAGAGTGGGAGGATGGGTAGAAAGACTTGATTCTGGAAGGGGAGAGACTGAGAAGAGTGGACTAAGCAGGATGACTGGGATTTTCAGAAGTTAGTCTGATGGATGCTGGGCACTGAGTTCCCTAGAACTATTTATCAATAACACCCTCTCTATTTTCATGAGTGGCATTTAGCCTGTCTGGCAGTTTTCACAGTCAGTGTGTGAGGGAAAAGAGGTAGAAGGCAGTTCACTCTGCTTTGGCAGCTGTAACAGGCTGGGCTGTAATACCTGAGGGTCTGAACTCTGATAAGCTGTGACATCCTGACTACCTGTCAGGTTCACAGAGGCTTATAAAGGAAACCCTGAGCTACCAGATTGAAAGTTGCTTCTGGAGCAGGTCTTCTGAGTAGTCCTGAGCGTGGATGTGAGGCTGTGGTCCTTAGGCAATGTGTGCTCCATGTTCCCAAGAGACCTACTCTATGCAGGCCAGCTTGCACTGTGGGACTTCTCTGAGTCTCTGTGTATCCTGATCTTGCCATGTGGCTGACAGTGAGTGACCAGAGCTGCCATGGACAGCAAAGGCAGTTGTCTTCAGAGTCAGCCTAGGTGCAGGCTGCCTTTGGAAAAGCATAACTATCCTGCAGAAGCCCATAGATACCCTTCAGACACACGGCACACCGGTCAGAGACTTTAGACCATGCTGTGTGCCCACACAATCAGCAGGGATGATAGTTACAGGACTGCTTTGCTTTTGCTGTGAGACCTGGTTCTGATGCATTATTTCAAGGAAGACAGTTGGAATTTGCAGGCCAGACCATGTGGTGAAATAAGTAATTCCAGCTCCCTTATTGGAGCGGCTTGATAGAAATCTGGTTCAACATTTCTGAGAAATTGTTGATGGTGGGGTTTTTTTGTTTGTTTCAATAAAAACCTGAAGCCTTTCCAATAGAGAACGTGAGGTATAGAGAATTTTTTGATGGAGCACATGCTTCAGGCTGTTTGCTGGATTCAGGCTTTGAGAATCCAAGTTCTTTGTAGGCAGTCCCACATACAGTGGGAGAAGAGGTTATTAGGCTTGGAAGTTGACCAGGGAGATGGGACTCAACTGAGCTTTGAAAAGCAATCATTGTCCTTATTGATGGTGCCATAATATGTGCTTGACTTAAACCCAACCTTGCACAGGCAAGAACCTTTTAAGTCATGTGATTAGATATCTGTGGTTGTTCCTACCAGTGTGATCCAGTGTTGAGTAGGCTAGAACATATGAATAAAATCCGTATTTTTTAAAGTGTGCTGTGTTTTCTTTGTCAAAAAGACTGGCTGCTCTCTTGGACTTTATTATGTTCATATGAAATATTTGATGTGAAATTAATGCAGCTTTCTTAGGACAGTCCACGTCCACTTGCAGAAGTGCACCTTTTCTTCCTCAGAGGTGATTGCTGCAGTCCTGCACTGTCCTGCTGCCACTGAGCTGATCTGGGCACTTTCCAAGAGAGCTATCTTGCTCCAGCAAGTTCACCTTCTCGGGAATGCTCAGTGGCAATCTCCAGATTAACTCCTCACATCTTTTTCTTGCTTCTTGACTTGGAAGCCACAAAGGTAAGTCCATGTATATGGCATTTAGCCACTGGGGAGACATTCTGTCTGCCATGCAGTCACACTGGAAGAGGCCAATGAGACAAGAGTCATGGAAAAAGCCAGACCCTGTTTCCCCCACTGGATGCACCAGTCTGTATCCTGCTGAAGGAATCAAGGGCAATGGTTCATGCACAGAATTTGTTTTCTTTTACCTTGACACTGTGACAGCACTGGTAACCAGTGAATACATGTGCTCATCTGCTCCCTGTCACTTATCCAAAGCCATGACTGTCTCTAATCCTTGAGCCCTGGATACTCTCACTGTCACATTTGAGTTCACACCCATCTTTTTTTTACCTTACAAAGCCTTGTTTGTCTCAGCTGCTGTATTTCAAACCACAGAGTCAGCCTGACCCTGCTTGCCTACTTAATTCATCTCTTTCCCTTCTTCATTCAGCCCACATGATCCTTGACTCCTCTTTTGGAGGAAAGTTGCTGTCCCAAAACACTCTCATTACAGATACCATCCCTGAAGCCCTTCACCAGTGGTGCTCAAAACCTGCAGCAATGTGTAGAAATGAGATTACTCACAACTGCCAGTATGTTTTACAGGTGGATGTATTATGTCAAGGTATGTTATAGGCAATTGTATCAGATAAATCATCTGTTCAGGGAAAAAAAAAAAGAGTTTTTTTTAATCCAGTCAGGTTTAGCGTAAGTTTGTGAGTCTGTTTTTAGAGGATGGATTGATGGAAGTATAGGCTGTGCAAGGCTGACTGACCAGTTGAGCCCTGTTTACCATAAAGGTCCATAAGAGTCTTTATGCATTAGAGAATATGCATGGACAGTGGAGGTGTAAAAGAAGTAGCTGGAAGAGGGAGCAGCAGGGAGGAGTATAAACGTAATAATTTTGAGTACAGCATTTGTATTTGCTCTTGTAATTGGTCTGTTGTAATGATTTTCCTAGAAGTGAATTAGTGGTCCCAGCAGAGAATACAATTTGGAGAGTCATTGAATTATAAGAAATGAAATCAAAGACAGACTAGCATCTCTCCTATTAAATAAGTGTGGCAGAAATTGTGTTGCAGACATATGGAATGAATGCTGACAAGTCACCAGAACTGAGTGGTATTCACTCACGACTTCGAGGGAAATAGTGGGATTACTTATGGCACTGTATAATTAACTTCATCCTCCATTGGTGCCTGAAGTTTAGGGAGTAGTGAGCGCGGTGCCTTTCTTTAAAACAGGTTCCACAATTGTATCTAAGGTACTGCAGTCTGGTAAATTTGACATTTGTATTAGGCCAATTAATAGTATAACAAGGAATTTAATCAGTGAATGCCTGATAAATACAAAAAATTTCACAGAATAACAGGGACCCACAGGGATCATCAAGTCCAACTCCTGGCCCTGCACAGAACCATCCCCAGGAGTCACACCATGGGCCTGAAAGTGTTGTCCAAACGCTCCTTGAGCTCTGTCAGCCTTGGTGCTGTGCCCACTGCCCTGGGGAGCCTGGTCAGTGCCCAGCCACCCTCTGGGGGAAGAACCTTTTTCTACTATCTAAGTCAACAAGGTTTCTGTTAAGAAAGGTTTTGCTTTAGGAAACTGATTTCTTTGAAGGGATAAACGAGCACAATGATAATGGTGAGTCTCTTTGATTAGGTCAGAAGGCTTTAGAGGAAACTGTACAGTCATGGGATAAAAGAGAAGGTCCTGGCATGTTTAAAAAGGGGAAACAGTGGGCAGAGTCTCTGGCCAGCTGATAGAATGGAAAGAAGTCAGTTAAAAATTCGGCTCAGTGTTCAGTGACAATTTAAATAGCAAATCAAATATTAGGCTCTGCTCAAGAACTCGGGTACCGCTGCAGTCCTGGTGCTTCATCTTCAGACTAGAGCTGGAATATGTCTGGAGAAGGCAAGGAGGATCATCAATGACATCAAAGAAAGTATGACCGAGACCTAATTATGAAATGCATGGAGAGGTTGAGTAAGGATTAAGCATTACCTGTTTCTTCTTGGGTACCTAGACTTGGAGTAATCCAATGAGACTCTTGTGATACAGGTTCAAAATACAAAGAAGGAGGTGGCACTTCAGGCAAGGAGAAGCATAACTGGGGAGGTTGTTGACAAAGGAGGGTGGAGATGCAAGAAATTTGAATGAAAATAAGAGGTGACCTGGTAAGGTAGAAAAGAGATTGATTGCAGATTACTAAATAAACAAAACACAGCAGATTGAGTAGACCCCAAGAGCCAGAAATGGTTAAAAGATGGCAGAGTGTATATATATATATATCTATATATATATATCTATATATATATCTCCTTTAGGTGTCTGTTATCGTTCTTAAGACTTCCTAGTATTCATGCAGAAGATTGGCAGAAGCAGGAAACCTATATCTAGACCAAAGTCAGTTCAACTTTAAGAGTAAATGACATTAAATGATGTTATATAGATTTGACCCTTTGAAGATACCTAAATCTGACCTTTCTCAAGCTTGGATGGAGTTAGATAACTGTTTTCCAGTCTTTTCTGATTTGCAGATCTTCTAAATATTGTTGGTGGAGATGAGAATAACAGTACAGTAAATACCAGCTTACTGATGGCCTTTATGGACTCCTTAAAACTTGTCCACAGCCCCTGAAAGAGTCTTGAACAATACCTTGATGGACACCAGCTATACTGTGTAGAGTTCATAAGTATATTTGTCTCTGAATGGAGCAGACAAACTGCCTGGGTATTGATTTTGTGCACATTAATAGCTCCTACCAGCCCAGACTGTTTCCTGAGTAGCAATTTGCATACTCATAGGGGAATAATTTCCTTGTTTATTGTTAGAAAAATTCACCCTTTACAGTATGTTTTGACCAGAAGACGACCATTTCAGGCCACTTTGTAGTAGTCAAAGATGCATCACGTAACCATGATCTCTATGGCACTCCCAGTCAACAAGCAGTGGAGCGACTGTGAGCCCAGCCTGGTGTCCAGCAAGTCCAGCCAGTCCTGTGGGAGAAGCAAATGCTCATATAAGATTTCTCTTGCTATGAACACTTGATCTTCCTCAGCATGGAACTGTGAGGGTGCAGAACAGCAAGACCCCTTCCCCAGTGGTTTGTTTCCCAGCGGCTCGGGGATAATGACAATCCAAGCCTAAGTGCTTAGTAGAGCCAAATATGCTTTTGCATTTGCTCCTGAGTGTTGTTTGGGAGCTGAAAGTGTCTGTGTACACATCCTTTTCAAACAGGGTCATCCCTGGCTTGGGAGTGGTTTAGTGATGATCTGGGGAAGGTGCTGAGGAGGTGCTGTGTTTCAGGAGGTCACCTCTTACCCTAGACTGCTTCATTATTATAGGGATGTATAGCTGTAGCTTCTTCCAAATCAACAGGGTGCTGTTTAATTCCTCCAACTGCTCACTTTGTGACTTCTCATTGCTCTGTACAGCCAATATAACCCTTCCAATTGCTTCCTATGTCCATGTGGGAGTTAAAGCTGGGTGTCACGGAAGGAGAGAAGAAAGCTTCCAAGGCTTTCATCCATACTATGCACTCCTGATTCTGGTCAAGCTGAAGTTTCAGACTGGAGGCAGCACCAAACGTCAGAGGTGCAAATACACTGTGATCATTAGTGTCCTGCCAGGTCCTGCCAGGACCTGGGTGATAACAGTCTAATCCTACCATCCCTCCCTCTGGAATCACTTCTGGTGTAGTGCCTGGTCTCCTCATTGTGACACAGGGGAGGATGAGGAGTTGTGGGGCTTTCCCTTCCCACTAGCTGACAGAACTCCCTTTCTTCCAACAGAGACACTGAACAGCACCAGGAGTCACCAGATTTTTACATATCCTGGCCAGGGAAATAGTGTCATGGAATCAGATACTGGTTTGGTTTCAAAGGGGCCTTAAAGGTCATCTCGTTCCACTCCTTGCCATGGGCAGGGACACCTTCCACTATCCCAGGTTGCTCAGAGCCCCATCCAGCCTGACCTTGAATACTCCCAGGGATGGGGCAGCCACAGCTTCTATGGGCAACCTGAGCCAGGGCCTCCCCACATTCCCAGGGAAGTATTTTTTTCTTTCCCTTGGGAACAATGTGGATCTCAGACTGCAGGTGTAGGTGGGGTAAAAGGACTGAGTCTCAGTCACACCTTGCACTGTGGGTAGAGTCTCCAGAGATAGGGGTGACTTTTCCCTGCCTTTGCAGAACTGCTCCGTTACCCTCCTTGCCTTCTCGTTGTCCTCTGATTTGATTGGTAATAAATTAAGCTCATTTCCCCAAGTAGAATCTGTTTTGCCCATGACATATTTGGTGACTGATCTCTTCCTGCCCCTATCTCAAACCATGAGCCTCTCAGTATATTTTTCTCCTCCCATCCAGCTGAGGAGGGGGAGTGATAGAGCAGCTTGGTGGGCACTGGGCATCTACCCACGGTCAAACCTCCGTAGATGTGTAGCATTAGAGGTTTCCCAAGCAAATCCCAGCTTCTTGGAGAGTGTCCTTCATACTCCTGAGTGAGCTGCAGGAAGAACCACTCCAGGATCTGCTCACCTGCATTGCTAATCTATTGAATCTCCCTGAAGTCAGAGACCTCACAAAGTCCATCCCTCCCGCTCTGGGCTCCCTCTAGGGAGCAAGATCACCCTCATCACCTGTTGTAAAATGCTTAATTTTTCTCTTATGTGTTACTCTTATATTACATTATATCCCTTGAGT